AGGTAGATGCAGTAACCTCCTGTCTCCTAAACCTCATTCCTTGCTGCCTCTAATATTTGTTTAGAAGCAAATGACACTCTCATTTACTTACGTGCCTGTGTAGGATAGTCTCCATTTATCAAGAAAATCAGAATTATACAAGTCAAAAGAAGGATTTTCTTCTCAAACCAGGCCTAATCTTATACATTTGTAAAGTAATATAAATATACACAGAGAAAATACTGTGATTTTAGACAGATAGCTGGGGGAGGGAGCCCCAGTGGGTGGAAGCTATTTTCTTGGAGCCTGTCATATCAGCACAGATGATAATGATAAATAGATATATGTACAGATGTTTTTGTTCCATGATTTTTCTTGTATATAGAATTTAAAATCTGCTTCCAAATGAAAAACCCAAGATTTTTCAAAATTTAAGTATGTGAATGTGTCCAGGGCACACCCATATTTAAAAATTTTATATATCCTAACTTGATTTAAGTTTTAAGTATGTGATACAAAGGAACAATCATATTTATCATTTTGGATTTTGCTAGATCTCAAAGAGACCCACACCTTGGGTGTGGTCAGTGCCAAATGCCACAGTTTCAAGTTTTGTTGGAGGTGGTTTTTGTGTCTGACTGAAAGTGAGAAAGGGTGACTTTCTTTGGGAGAAGGGAGTTCAAAGGATTTGTCTTAGCCACTGGATCAAGAACATCCAGGAAAACTGTGATCTCCAAATCCTGCCAGCAGAGTAGGCAGGAGCAGTTAACCGTATTCCTCGTTTTGAAGGTGGGAAGACATGAAGACTTTGAAAAAAAAAAACCCATAAAACTTTATATAGTAGGAATAAAAATATGATCCTGTCCTTTTTTGACCCATGAAACTAGAGAATAGTAGAAGCTACATGCTGAATGTTTTTGTTTTCCTAGCCATAGGCACTGACATGATGTCAAAAACCTGAAATCATAGGACTCCTGGCACTGAGAGTTCAAAACAAAGTTCATTCAGCAGTTACCAGGTTTTGAATAAACTGTGCAAGCCACATTATTTCTACTGCTCAGAGAAAGACATTTAGTTTACCTGTGGCTCTTGCTTTAATATCAAAGTGTTTTACTTGCGCTTGTGAAAATGAGGTGGCCTGGCCCAGAGCTCATTACAGTGGACATTCTAGGTCCCCTCACATTCACCTCAGTGGGCCTGGGGTGAAACATGCATAGAAGGAGCACTAGGAAACCTTGTGACCAGGTCATATACACACCCCTCCCAGGACAAAGAGATCTGCAGTGCTACCTGGGGAGCACTCTAAGTACCAGTCGGACCCTTGCAGATCTGAAACAGCCAGGCTCTGAGATTTCACAGTCACCCTGTTTACCCTAAACGGGGGTACCCAAGCATACGGGGCTATTCAGCCTGATGTCTCTAGGAGTGGATACTTTCTTCTTCAAGGACTGGTGGGGAATAGTGGGCGGGCTCAGACCTACAGAAAAACATGGGTTCCATACCTTGGTCACTCTCCAGGTGTAAGTGGTTGGTGAAAGAGGTACACACATTCTTTTGGGGCATAAGAAACCACTCTGTACTCTACAGCCAGAATGGCCCTTGCTCCAAAAGAGTAAGGGGCAAGGTGGGAGCTGGATCTGAAGGCTGCTGTATAAGCACTAGTGCTGATACAAACTCACTCCTGCTGCCTTTAGGTTGCTGGGGCCAGGCTGGCAACACTGATAACCTCTTGGTTTGCTCAGAAAAAGGATGTTGTAAATTCAGTGTGGCCTACTAGACATGGCCCCCCAAAATACCCATCCCAGGAGGTTTCAAAGGTAGTCTGGTTTAATAAGATGTAGCTATGTTTTAAAAAGTCCTCTTCAGGCTGGAAAAAAAAAAAGGAAGGAAAAATGGCATTTGTTTTACCTTGGAGACATGAAGAGTTTAGGTTCTGAAGTCGATAGATAGTCTGTGCTCCAATTTTGGCTTCCTTGCTAGTTACTTTTATATCATTAAAGTAGCTTCCTAAACACCTGTACCTTTATTCAATTACAATAAAAACTATATGTACTTCATAAGGTGCTTATTCAATACATACACACACACACTTAAGTGGCCTCTGTTAAGTGAATGTCACATAGTAAGTGGGCAATGTTTACATTTTTGTTGCTTTTGGTAAATTTTATCTCACAGTCTGTGGCTTGTCTTTATATTCACTTCATCTCTTTCAAGAGCAGAAGTTTTAAATTTTGGTGAAGTCCAGTTTGTCAGTGTGTCCTTTTATAGATCAGGCATTTGGTATTACATCTAACAGATTTTTTTTATAATTCAGGGTGACATAGATTTTCTCCTATGTTCAGGTATCTGGTCCTTGTTTTCTGTATTATGTTTAGGTCTATGATTTATTCTGGAGTTTTTTTTTTGTATGTGGTACAAGATATGGGTGGATATTGATACTTTTGCATATTTTAATTCAGTTGTTCCTGAAACTTTTGTTGAAAACTTCTTTTTGCATTAAATTGCCTTTGCAGTTTTGTCAAAAATCATTGTATATAGGTGTCCTTCTATCTGCTCCATTCTTCTGCTTACTAGTTTTTGTGCACAGCCATGTTGTGTTTATTACTATAGCTTCATACTACGTCTTGAAAGCAGATAATGTTGGCCATTGAGCTTCCTGCTGCGTTCCTCTTTTTTACTATTCTGGGTATATTGCATTTTCATATGAATTTTTGAGTCAGTTTGTGAATTCCTTCCAAGAAGGACTTACCTTCAAAACATATAAGGCACGGAGAGCTCACTAGGAGAGTGCCTGCGTAGCATGCATGAGCCTCTGGGTTTGATTCCTAGCACAGAAACAAAAAAGTGTTCCAAAACATATAAAGTAACTCTACCCATGATCTATAAAGAACTCTCAAATTCAACAGTAAGAAAGTGAACAACCCCAGTTTTAAAAGTGGGCAAAAGAGTTGACCAGACAACCTAGTAAAGAAGAAATAAAAATGGTAAATGAACACATGACAAGCTGGTTGACATCATATGAAGCATACATTTCACAACTACAATGAAGCATCACCACATACCTGTGAAAACTGCTAAAATTAAAGACTGAACATGCAAAGTATTGGTGATTCTGGAGAGCAGCTATCATGAACTGTTGGTGGATAGGAATATAAAACGAGGAAGACTACCTTGGAAAAGAATTTGGCAGTTTCTTGAAAAGTTAAACATTGCTAGAGGTGGTGTGTGTAAGCCCACCTACTAGGGAGGTCAGGGGAGGAGGATCACAAGTTTGAGGCCAGCCTCAGCAATTTAGCAAGACCCTGTCTCAAAACAAATAGGGCTGGGGATGCAGCTCAGTGGTAAAGCACCCTTGGGCTCAGTTCAATCCTCAGTAAAACACACACACACACACACACACACACACACACACACACACACGGTAAACATACCATCATATGGCCCATCCAATCCACTGCTAGGCAACTATTCTAGTCCAAGAGAAATCAAACCATCTATCTGAGGGCCATGAGGGGGCATGGAGAGGCATAGGAATGGTGGGTGTGTTCATTATTTTATTTGCTTTTCATCGTGTCCCTCGAAGCCAGCTATCACAGCATCAACCAAATAGTGCCAAGCTGCCTGCAACGAAGGTACGAGGCGTGCACTGCTGTAGTGGACCAGCCGCTGTGGCTGTCCGTGACCACGGTCTTTCCCTGGCTATAAATGAACTATGCTGAAAACCACACCCTTGTGTCATGTTGTTCTGGTGCGACATGGATTCAAGGCTCTGAGGAGGACCAACCTAATTACTGGAAATGTTCTCGCTGTGCAAAGAATGTTCTGCACTCCTGCCCCTGCGCTTCCTCCGGCTGGAGCCTCTGCTGCCTCAGTCACCCCAGGTCACAGCTGCTTTGGCGAGAACCAAGTGGGTGGAGAGGGAAGAAACCTCATCATGCCATATTCAGGATGGTCTAGTTTTTCCTCCTCTGACTCTTTCCTTAGGAAGAAAGATGAGCACTCTAACAGGACTAAATACCTTCTATTGCTCTGTCTAGAGTAGGAAACCGAAATTCCTATGGGTACCATATTTTCCCCGCAAAGCTCTCTTACTTGGTCTGTTACTCAGATCTCTTTGTGACAGGAGGGAGGAATCCGAGGGATAGACTGAGGATTCACTGGTTTTGAAAGTCCCAGATAAGCAATGGAGAGGAATAATTTGTGCATGCTGGTCCTGCTTAGTGTCCTCTGATGTCTATGCTGGTATTGAGGGGGGACTCTTAGGAGGTAAAATGGTCGTGAAGATGCCAAGGACTTCAAGGGCTTGCTTTTGCTCCATGGTTTCCTTAAGCAGAGAAATTCAGGGCAAGGAGATTATTTCTACTACTTAAAAATTCAACCCAGAGGATGTAGATGTGCTGATGTTGCTGCAATCTTGTTTCATCCAGTTATTGTCACGAGGAGAGTCATCACCAAGCACTATTCCCTTCACAGAGCAAACTGTTGCTAGATTCACACTAACAAAGGGGGGTTTCATTCTATTTCTCTTTCCTAGAAGAGAATATGAAATAATTCCAAGATACCGAAAAAAATGGTACTTAATGTGTTTTGACTATGTAGAGGAAACACTTAAACAACAAACAAACGGCAAATCACATTTTGAAACTGAATACTGATCGTGCCGTGAGTCCATCTTGGTAAATCTGCCTTTATGGAAGAAAAAGCTCTCCCGTTTGGTTGATATCTAGGTCATGGTTCCTAAGAACTGATACAATGTTCAAGGCACTTGCAACTTTTTTTTCCCCTGAAGAGGAATTTTCAGACATTTCTGTAGACCCCCACGCAGTTGCCGTGGCTGTGGGACAGAAGGTGGATCCAGGGAGCTTGGTCCCCGCAGCAGCAAAGGCTGTGTGGAAAGCAGGAGAATGGTATGAAAATTCACTTGTTTGTGAAATAATCCAAGGAGTGCAGATTCTCTACTAGTAAATTGTGCAGTAAATCTTAAAGGAATTAAAGATGCAGAATTAAAGGAAAATGAGTGGCTTAACTTCGCTTTATGAATACTGGTAATTCTATGTTAGGACAGTCCAGTTTAAATGAACCATCTTCAGGGAAGGAATTACAAAAAACAAAAATCCATTTTTTTTTTCTTGAAGAGAATTAAATCAAATACATAATTGTTGGGGATTAAAAGTCTTGATCGAATATCTTTTCTTAAAATATGACTGTTGACAAAATAATCCCAAAGTGTGACCCAACATGCATTCTTGGTCTGCTGTAATTATATTTACCATTTTGAAAACATCTTGTTCATGAAGTTAAAGTTAATGCTTGATTCTCTGTTTATATCATGTTTTCAAAACAGGTAAAATGGGTGTCACGAGGAAGGAATATGACAGTTACCGTGACAGCACTGCAGAAATGCAAGGTACGTTTTCATCACGGTGTGTGGGCACAGGACTGGAGCCACCACAGGACATAAAGGAACTGGCTAAAGATGTTTTTAACATAGTCATCCATCCATTCTTCTGTGTTCATCTGGAATCTACAACCTGTAGTATATGAAATGCTTTTGCCTCTCAGCAGATTGCTAAGTGGACAGTGTTTGGCACCTTCCAACGCTGTGCATTAACAGTATCTCCAGACCTGCCAGCTCCCATCTCTGGTAACACAGCGGGAAGAGTGGAAATGCTTTCTTTATTCAGCTTCTAGAAAACCCTCCACATGTGCTAATGACACATATGCTTAAAACCTCTCTACTGTGAATTCTCCCCAAACTAACTCTCCCTCTCCACCTGTAAGATGCTGTTAACTGATCCTTCTCCAATTTGAGTCAAGCCAAAACAAACATGTATGGTACATCTATTATAGGACAAGACTGTGCTTAAAAAACAGGAAGTCCCTCACTCTTTACAGAGCTTGCTGTTTAGACAATGTTTGAATCAACTGAAAATCAGTTAATGCAATTCAGTATGTACAGGCAAGGATAGAGCACGGCAGGGGCAGAGGCCAAAGCCTGCAGTAAAGGCAGCTTCATACAGGATGGGAGAGTTGCCAGGGTGGCCAGAGGGATGGCTTCATCCAGGGAGATGTCCCAGGTGGGGGGAAGAGCATCTGCAGAAGCGTGGAGGAGAGCCCCTGCAAGGGTCATGCTGGTTCTCTGCTTCAGCTGGCCCAACTCTGAAATTTCTTACATTCAGTTAGTCCCTCCCTTCCTCATCTCATGCTAGCCTTCCTATGTAAAGTGTTTCCCACTCGCTCTTGTTCTTCAGCGCAGTCAAAAACATGTTGGGACGTAGTGATACACAGACTCTTCCTCCAGGAAACCATCCATCATTCATTCCCTGATGATAATCACTTAAAAATAACATTGGTTTTTCATTTTGCAATCAAAGCATATACATATTGAAAAAAAACAGAAAATACAGACAAACATAAAATGGAAATAAAGGTCGTCCACGAACCCACACCCAGGTAAAAACCTCTGTGACTATTTTATCGTACATACGTCCAGATTTTCCCCACCCATGTGGATATTTTTCCTTGAACAAAAATTACAGTGTACAATACTTATCCTTGGAAATCTAATTTTTTGCTTCATGTAATGTGGATCTATTTCCTAAACAAAACTTACCTGTGGCACAACTTCTGCGGTTGCATAGGATTCTTGCTTGGATCTGCCTTAACCTATTTAACAAACACTTTATGACAAATATTTTTATTATTTCCATTTCGGTCATGTTCTCTTATCATGTCTGATGGGTTTATTTCATCTTAATATTACACATTACCCAACAGGTTGCATTAGTTGACATGTCACTGTGCAATTATTTTCAAGTTATGTCAGTGCTATGGTTTGGGTGTGTCCGCTGGAATTCAAGTGTTGGAACCAAGTGTCTAGTCATATGTTAATGATGGTGGCGAGACCTCTGGGAGGTGACTGCATCAATAGGGATCTGCCCTGATGAATGGACACATCCATTCATGGGTTAATGGATTAATGGGATATTGAGGAAGTGAGTTAGGTATCCCAAGGGTGGATGTGCTAGGAAATCTAGATTGGCCATCTTTCATGAGCCCCCTCACCATGTCATGCCCAGAACTGCCTTGGAATTCTACAGAGTTCCCACCTGAGGAATGCCCTCCCCAGATGCAAGTCCTTGACCTTGGACTTCCTAGCCTCTAGAACTATAAGAAATTAATTTCTTTCATTTACAAATTAACCAATCTCAGGCATTTTATTATAGCAACAGAAAACAGGAAGACAGGATTGTGTATCTGTAGGTCTTCCTTGATGTCAAAGCATCTTAGAGGCATGAGCAGTTTTTCCTTATTAGGAATTATTCATATATAGCAAGTGTTCACTGCTGCTCAGATGGGTTGGCACAGTCTGCTAGGATGACATCTGAATGAACATTTGTCTGGGGGTGACCTGCAGATTTTTCCCACCGTTCAAACAGTGGCTGGCCTGTTGGAATGGAGAGCAAAAGGAACAGGAGCAGATAGTAGTGGATCCACTGGTTCAGTTGATGGCCCAAGAAGGTTCCAGTTCACTTCCCAGGAAGCTTTAGGAACCCTGCTAGAACTTTAGATTATGAAGTTGCTAGAGATTTTCTTGGGTGAGGAAAGGACAGACCACACTGGGGGGGGCGGGTGGAGCAGAGCACCTGATGCTGGAGACCAAGCGAGGGAGCCTTGCGAGGGGGTCTCAGTGTCTCAGTGCAGCTGCAGGTCTTGCGGCTTCTCCTTCCACTCTGGATTCAAGGCTACACTAAACTTCCTGTTCCTTCCTTCAGCTCTTTATTTCTTGCTCAATCATCTTCTGCAACCGAGACATGAACACAGTCCCAGACAAGGTGGCAATGAAGTCATGTCCCTCTGCACACCACCCGGCCATCCGACCCACCCCTTTGGCCCCAGATGTTTTATTCACCTGGATCAGGCCAGTTTTCTTCTGAAGTTATAGTGACCCCCACACTTATAATCTTAAAGGGGGAAAAAAACCACTCTCTGTCTGTTGGTCAAAACTTAAACAAGGAATAAATAGTAAAATGCAATTTTTGTCCAGTTTCCTTTTGGAAATTCAGATGCTCATTCATTTTATTGAACAGCCAAACAGAGCTGTGTAATTTATGGTTCCAGTGAACGTACCAATTTAGAAATGGCTATTATATCATCGATATAGTTGTTTAGCTGGGCAAAATCTGCCTTAAAAGAGGAGTATCCTTAGGATAAAACAAACAAACAAACAACCTTTTCCTTTTCTGCACTGGAATATGATTAACATTAAACTTGTTGATGAGGCAGCAGATTTATAATCCAGGTGGTCAGAAATCTATTTTTTAATTTCTGAAAGGACATAAACGAGCAGCTGCACAGCAGACTTCCTTCCGCCTGCCATACGTGTGTGCCATAGTCAGGCTCCAGAGGCCCTGCAGGTCTGTCCTGGGGGGCTGCAGAAGGTGGCTGTCATGTTAACAGTGGCTCTAAGCTGTCTGCAGCAGGTGTATTAGGGGCCTCCTTTTTTTCCTGGTAAACATGTTGTTTGTCCTACGTCTTGATCCATCTTAGATTCACTTCAAAGGTCAGAAAGAAGGGCTAAGAGTGTAGCTCAGTGGCAGCAGAGGTTCCATCCCCAGCAGCGCGCCACACACACACACACACACACACACACACACACACACACACACGGGAGAAGTAGTGGCCACAGTTCCATCTCTGCTGTTCTTGGCACTAAATTTACGGATGATTCCAGATTTTAGGGGTGAGTAAATGGAGGAGGAAATTGTTAAACCCAGCTCCAAAGACCATTTCTCCACAATCCATTAATGTGCTGGTGAGATGGTTTGTGATGAAGAAGGGGAATTGTTTTGTGAATAAAAATCCCCCACCTAGAACAACACAGCTTCTCCCCATTTTATTGTTGTGGTTCTACCAAAAATTATGATTTGTGCTGGATAAAGGCTATTTTTTTAGCTGAGGGGGTGGAGTTTGGATTAGTGGTTGGGAAGTAGCTGGGAACTTGCTGAATAAATCCTCCAACTTTTTAGAGATAACATAGAATAGAAAATACAAAGGGCAGGGTGGGGGGTCTGGGTCTGACACTTAGGAAAGTAAGAACAAGGAGTGAAAAAATACTAGAGATAGTACTTTGAACCACTGGGCTAATTTTCTAAGGTTTTTGTTATTAATTTATTTACTTTAATTAGGTATGTATGAGAGCAGAATGAGTGCATTTTGATACATTGTACACATTGCAGCACAACTTTTCATTTCTCTGATTGTACACGATGTGGTGTCACACCATATGTGCCATCATACATGTACCTAGGGTGATGATGTCCATCTCATTCCACCATCATCTTTCCACTGAGCTATTTTATGACAGATACTAGTGGAACATCTCTCTCTCTCTCTCTCTCTCTCTCTCTCTCACACACACACACACACACACACACACACAGAGAGAGAGAGAGAGAGAGAGAGAGAGAGAGAGAGAGAGAGATAAGCGCATTGCTCTGTATTCAGATATTTAAGTTGGAATATTATAATTGGGGTTGGGCTGGAAATTAAGTCTTTCCAAATGCAGGATCCTGTGACTCCCTGGACTTCTTACATCATGGCTCACTGTTATCTTTTCATTTGAAATCTCCAATTAGCTTTGCGATTAGAGATGTGGTAATATGCTCCACTGATTGGCTTTACACACCTAATACCACCTAAGTACAGGAGGCCAAGAGCTAAATAAGCACCTTCGTGCAGAGGGTCCTTGGCCTATGCCAATAACACTACTATTTCATCTTGAAAAAGAGTCAACATGTTTTTTAAAGCACAAAGTCCACTGTGTACATGCCTCGTGAATCAGTATCTAGCAAAACAGCCTGTCTGTAACTTGGAGAATATGTAATGACTGTATTCTCAAAATACAAACTATGGCTCTACATTATCACTTCTGATGAATATAAATCATCCAAGAAAACTAGTCCCATTATTCAGTATCTTATTGTGGGGCTGAATTCTGGTTATCATCCATGTTTTTAGTGACTTGATTTTCTACAGAGAATAGGAAGTGTAGCCTATAGAGTTCCAAAACGGACTTGCAACCAGGCAGCTAACAGACAACTTCTAATTAATGCATGGAAAACCCTGTTTCCCTATAATTGTTACTTTAAGTCCATAACTTAAAGAAGTATATGCATTCATTCTTGCATCTTTATGAATATCATAAGGCATTGAATCCCTGATGAGGCTTAAATGCATTGTATTGTCCTTCATTTGTTACCTACAAATCTTTCCTAGAGCCTTCCATTCCTGCTAGAGATTGAAAACTTTGCAATAATAATGATATCACCTTGGTCGGTTTCATGGTGCTATCAGAATACCACAGACTGCAGAAAGTATAATGAGGAGAGATGCATTGGCTCGTACTTCTGGAGCCTGGAAGGTCCAAAATCGAGGTTCAGGTGTCATCGCCAGCAAAGACAGCAGAAGAGAGAGTGAACATTCAACAGTGACCCAAATCAGTCCTTTCATAGTGAGCTCTGTCCTGCCATATCCAGCCCACCCCTGAGTCCACTCCTACAGCCAGGGCCCCCAGGGCCCCAACACATCTTACTCCATTAGGTCCCGAGCTTCGATGCTGAGAATCGTTCAACTGAATTAATGTAGATGTACTGACATAAGTTGAGAAATCATCATCTCGAATTTATATAAGTGATTATATTAATCAAATTATTATAATTCTTACCTTATGATATGATGACTTAGTTCTTATTATATAATTATGCATTATACAATTATGTCATATATTGTATTGAGGTTTTCACAGGTGTCTCACACCTGGGACGATGGGACAAGACAGGCGAAAGGGCCTACCTCTTAGGACTGGTGCAGTGGGAATCACGTGTACAACACATTGACTTGAGGAACATTCAAACCACGGCAAATAGGTCTTCCATTCTGATCAACAGGTCCAAGGAATCATACTGTACAAATGTAGTTTAAGGATGTGGAATGATCAAGTTCTCTTCCACTGTCCTAGAGGTCACTGGTAAAAGGGATGGCAATGACGGGACAGTAAGCTTTAAAAGTTGGTTAACTGGTGCCCAAGTTCTATCGAGGAAGAGTCACCTGGATAATTGCCTGAAACAGAGCTAGCTGGACACCATCCCTAGTGATTCTCTCAGTGATTCTGACGTAGGGACTCAAAAACCAACAGTAAGTGTAGCAGTGAATTTTAGAAAACAAGCACCGTCAACACTACAGGGAAGGTGGTTGTGCAAGACAGAATTTTCTGAGGTGTCTATATAGCAATGTCATGAGTGGACATACCGCGAGTGAGAACAAACTGGAGGGAACCAAGTGGGCACGGATGGTGACAATAGCGGGTGGTGCAGACAGTAGGCTCAGTACACGTGTTCACATATTCACTTACTGTTGATTGACTACGGAAGACCATAAAGTGGCTTTACACATAGATACAATATCAACTTCACAACAACCCTGAGAGCTATTATCTCAAAAGGAAGGAACAGAAGAAATCAGATAGAAGTTTCCACCAGTAAAGGTTGATTGAAAACTCTGAGAGGAAAAGAAGTCAATGTGACGCAAAGAGGTGAATAACTCTGTCTGCAACTCCATCGGTATGTACCTCCTTCGGTGTGCATGAAACTCTAACATCTGACGACTAATCATTTCAATAGGAATATTCGTGGGCATGCTGTATTTTCAAGTTTAATACCAAGCCAGGCATAATGTGGAGGGGAAATCATTCAAAAAATAAACATTAAAAATCCTGAGAAGAGCAGGGTAAACTGGTTCTCCAAATACAGCCTGTTAGGAGAGAAGGGAGGAGTGGAGTTTGCCGGCCAGGTTTCACTGTGGAGAACTCTGGGCCGGGCCTCCACCTCAGAGCTGGGCCTTCCTGCTGGTCTCCGGGGTGGAGCTTCTTCTGACAATGAGAGCTCTTCAGAGTGCACTGAGAACAGGAGCTCACTCCCTAAGAAGATCTCAACTTCAAAACAGAATTCTAGGTCATGACAAATACATTCCTAACTCTGGTCCTTCATTTAGACCTAAGCTGTATAAAGTTTAGACCAAACCATAATAACTTCTGTAATTAACAAATTATCTGAAGATAAAAGTCAATTGGTTTGGGGGACAATACGATTTATCATCTGCAAGATATTCTGACAAAACAAATTTAACCCAGCTCTGGGGAAATCATGGGAACTGAGGCCCAGGCTGGGGGTCATGCCAGCGCTGCCCCTGACCTGGGGGAGCTCCTGCCATTTTTTCTGCTTCGGCTTCTTGTCAGTGCAAGGAGAGTGGACAACTAATAGATTCCTATGGTTCTGCCCAACTCCAGTAGTCGATGCTTTTAGTTAATTAGTTGTTGACACAGGGTTTTGTTTCCAAACAAGGTCAGGTTGCAGGCTATTATGAGCAGCCTTCTAAGAATGAGAGCTACTTCCTCAGGCTGGTTCTTGTGAAATGGTGGGCAGCCAGCTGAGAGACACAGGGAGGACCCTCTACCCGCTGAGCTGGGACCATGCTGTGGAAGAGCAGAATTAACAATTATTCAGGCTTTGACCAGGGTAAGATTTGGCAGGTTTTGATAAATAACTGGATACATTTTGATGTATCTACTCTACATTCTGGAGGAATGTGGACTATAAGGAAAAAGGATCAAAGGTAGTTCTCTAGAGTTTGGTCTTAACACCTGGAAGCACAGGATCGACAATGATTGGCAGGCACGCTGTGTGAGGAGCAGGGCTGGGGAAGAACCGTCTGGTTGTGCATGTGTTAATTAGGAATGCCTGCTAAACATCTGATGGCGATGTCGACTTGGGAACCGGACCATGAATCTAGAGCTCAGGAGAGATGTTTTGCTGGAGATACAAGTTCTAGAGAGATCATCTCCACAGGAAGGGCATTCAGAATTGCAAGGGTGGATAACATCTTCCAGAGAGAGTGTGCAGTGGAGAAGGACCCAGTTCGGCATCCCTTGGCATTCAGAGGTTGGGGAGAAAAGGAGGAAGCAGCCATCCAATGTTAGGAGAGCAGCCAATGGGAAAGGGAGGTCAAGGCAGAAGTTGTTTTAAGAGCAGGAAGGGATGCAGCCCAGTCGGACACTGCCCCTGGGGCACAGGCTGGAAGAAGGTTCACGAACCAAGAAAATGCCTGTAAGAAGTAGAAATCACACCATCTACCCCACCTCATGCCCTTGGACAGTGAGCCAGTGAAGGAAGAGGACCTTAAACCGTATGCATCCAGAACAGAGAGAGTAACATCAGCTTGGTAAAAATATTATCCCTTGCTTTTAAATTCAGTCTGTTAGGGTGCCATCTGGTAAGTTCTTCAAAGAAGTCATTTTGCTTTTCTGTGTTCAGTGATCTGATGGAGTCGATACGCTGGCCAGGGTGCCTTTGTTTCAAAAGTCTCCAAGCGCGAAGCAGTGTTTTCCCTCTCCTTGCTGATCATATAAACATATTCCTGGCTTTCCTTGTAAATGGGACACATGAAGTGACTGAATGAACTTGTAATGGAGGGTCCCCTGATTCAGGGACACAGCTTGGCTGAGCTCTATGTGACATGCCCAGAGTTCCCCCAGGACTCTTCTGCCGGCACACTGACAGAGATCTGCCACCCTCTTTGCAACGCTGATGTTCTGCCCTAGAGAACATTCAGGGCTTGCCACGGTGATCCGAGAGGTCACCTGGATTTTTTTTCTACTTCTCCAACTGTGGGCAGCCAATACTGGAAGCTGACCCCCACCAAGAAGCTAGTTATGGGTCTAAGTTCCTCACCTGCCTATCGGCTTTGTGGGCAAACAAAATGCTTCCCGCCTTGATCATCTCCACTAGTCCCTCTACTCTTTGATTCTTTTGGCCTGGGGATTTC